ACTGTACAAATTTTAACCAACCAAATGACATTTTTTGAAGCTGCCCTCTGCAGTTACCCTCTGCACCACAACCAGTTCTATAAAATTATATAGATGTCTTGCCATAACGCCAACTTCATGATTGCTTTTGAGCCAGTGTGTAAGGGCAATAGAAACTCATGATGCTAGTAAAGGTCCTGCTCAGTTTGGCTGTACCTATTGTTACAAAGCAGAAAACATGGCCACTGTTGATAGACGTGATTTGCTTGAGGTTTTCATCTTGCTTTCATGTGATTTCAGGCTGCAGCTGTCTCGTTTTCTTGGCACACAATGGTTTCACTGCTACACATTCATAGGATTGTTTAATAAGCAAGTGGCTCGGTTCAGTATAAACAATATCATTACAGCCCTCTGGGCAACATCCAAGTTTTTTATGACCAGCTGCTGTGACACAATAGGCACAATAGCTTCATTTAACTGTAGGCTTCTGTGAATACTACTGTATTTGAATTCACTTTGATTTCAATTTAAATTGTTCGAAATGTTGAATTCGAAATGGAGGAAAAGGTGTTATAAGTCTGCATGTAACTCCTCTTGCAAGGGTAGTTTCACTGCTGTAAAGGTTTCTAAAACCCTTTTCACTAGGCAAATTCAGTGCCATTTACAAAGAATGACATTAAGTGGACCTAGTGTTATTTTATCTGCGTGCTGTCACACGTTGAACACAAATGTCATTTTAAAATGATGACCGTCACCTTGGCTCTTCTGAGTCATCGATTTTGGGAGAAATAAAGATATACCAAAGCTTACATGCAACATGCATGTATCTACAAAAAGAATTTTTGTGGGTGAAAAGGTGCTGCTAGAATACAAACGCGGCAATTTTGCGCAACTTGCCAAAGCTGCATGACACACTCAAAAACCAACATGGCCAACGATATGCTCAACTGGTCGTGAATACAGTCAGCTGAAACGGAGCGCATGACTTACTTCCCGACTGCAGAAATGAAACGGCTTTAGGGAACGTAGCGGAACTACGCAGTAATCAATTCGCCACCTTTCGTACTTCATCATTACAGCGAAAAACTATATGTGATGACGGCGTTGTAATATTACCAAAAGTGCATGGCCTTGTTTATGTTTGCCGTTGCGCGGAGAAACATTTCAGCTCATTTGCATGACTATATCTGCTATTATGAAATCATTCTGCAATTAAGAATATACATGCTGACGTAGGGGCAAAGCTGACAGACGACTCGTCAGGCTTCGACATGTGCGCGTACGTTTCTACGGTGATCCACTGGCTCAAACTGGCGTGGCTATATATGAAACCTGTACCATCGTACGTCAAACTGAGTGTGCCCCTAGCTAATTGCATGCAGTGCATCGCCTACTAAGCTCACTTCATCAGCTCCGCGCCCCGTAACGTATAGACATGCATTTGCACTTCCGTAGACATCTTTTTTCTTCGTGCTCGCTCAGCACAGAACCAAGCAAAGGTTAAGAGACTATTTTGTCGAGCCAATGCGGCGGCAGCGAGTTGCCTTCGTTTCCACGAGCGATACGCACTTGCGTTCCTGCGCACAAGGACGCGGCAGCACACGGCCTGGTCAGTACGCTTACAATAATTGTAACAGCGCTAAACCATAACAGTGCTAAACCGCTAAGCCACATGTACTGCCACACCGGCAGTACATGATTTAGATTGATTGAGATATTTATCGTTGGTAGGTTTGTCGTGATGATTTGCCGCCGCATTTGTTGGTAGCCGTGGTCACGCTCCCATGAATTTCCATGCAAGCATGATCACCGCACTTGTGCCAAAGTCATAGTAATCATTGCATAATCTACTGAGGCTTTTATGGCAAATGCGCAAAATCGTAAGTTCTTCACAGTGGCAAATGCTAACAAATAAGCCTGTGTGAATAGTGAATTGTAGGTTTGAAGCGAATAGTGGTTTTAGTCAAATAATTTCGTATCGTATTCAAGAAGTATATATGACATGTAAAGAAAAATAGGCATATTTATCATGACCTTACTAACCTGCACAGTATTTAAAAAAAAAATGAAATAGAGCCTTCATGCAAATTCTTTTTTTTTTTTTTTTTCAAAAGAAGTCAGAAGATTTTTGAATAGTAGCGGGATTTTACTTTCAGTAGGATGCAAGTCATAACCCTTAAAATACGTAACATTTTAAGATTTAAATAATTAATTATAATAATTATTAAGCAAATAGCCCATCATAACTAGCTTTTAAAGTTAATAAAATGAATAGATTTGAGAGTAATATTCTCTCCTAAAGGGGCTGTGTGACACTTTTTTAAGCATTCACTGAAAACTCAATCTTATTTATTGCCTCATGAATTCACCGCTGCAAATATTTTTCCAATCCGTACAGTACACACGAAGTTACAAAGATTTCTCACACGGTGCAAGTGCCTTCTGTCTTCTCATCCAGACGAAAGCACGGGAAACTAAGCAGGAAGGGATGGCATCGCAAAAGGAAATACGTCACACCTGCTTTCTGAGCTTGTGGAGTAATTTGCCGAGAGAGCAATTTTTAGCTGACTTTGAGAATTTGTTGTGAATCGCACGCCGCGTTCTGCGCTATAATATTTGATTTGCGTGTCCCCAGTAGCCTCGACTGCCGATCGGCTGCGTTTTCTGACAATGCCCAAAGAGAATTGCAGGGCCCTTTTAAATTTGAAGGGAAGCGTTGTGGCAGAGCAGATTTCTCCGGGATAGGTTTTTTCGCAGTTACACTCCTACACTGCTGTGAAACCACCTTTACAGGCGGTACATTCGGATTAGTATGCATTTATTTGTTCCTTGCGAATACTTCGAAATTTTCAATGATTCAAATTCGTACTGAAGTGAATTCAAATACCCTAATATTTATTTGAATATTCTAAGCATTCGTATAATCACACAAGCTTACGAAGGAATGTTCGTGAACATCGAATATTCAAAATTTTTCAATGTGGTTATCGAATTGAATATGCATAATACAAATGAAATATTCGCCGATTTGAAACTTTCTAATATTTGCACACGCCTAGTTTTTTCGATCTAAGAAATGTTTTAAATATCAAATTAGCTACCGTATGTACAGTAGACCCTCAGTAAACGGAAATCTGTTAAATGGAACATATTTTCCCGGTCCCTTCAGGTTCTGCTTACTGAGAGTCTACTGTACTAGCGTATGAACACACCTTTTTATCAGAAAAGTTGACGTCAATTTGGAGGGAAGGTTCATTATGCGGGAGAAAAAAAAATTAGTAGAACTATAAAGGCAAAAATTTCTTAGTACCATCATTAATAGCAAATGAGGGTACTAAGAAATTCACTGTCCAACCACTGCTGGTCTTTAGTTGAGTGGTAAGACCATGAAGCCTCTACTTTAGAACTGGCGCTCACTACAAAAGAAAACTGTCTTTGTTCTGGCCCACGAAATCAGTGACGAAGCTTGTTCATCGCCTGAAGCTCTTGTTTTTTTCCATAACGAACGCGCACCGATCAACATCGAAGTGTCTTCCAGTTTCTTGGTTTCTATGCTTCAGTGCATGCTTGACCACCTTTAAGTTTAAAGAAGAATGGGTATTTGGGCTAGTTGGTTGAATTCCATGTTAGTAGGGGTTGTGGCGTAAGCACGAAAGTGCTGGAATGCCATAAGGACAAATTAACCCACGAAATAGCTGAGGTGTATCATATCAGGAAATCTGGTGAGAAATGCGTAAGCCAGTTTTCGGTGGCTTTGCATGAAAAAGAGACTGCGCTTTTGGATAAGGGTTAATCATTGTGCCTTCGTTTTATTGGACACTCTCCATAACTATGTCATGTTGCTCAAATTTGCTTGTTGGAAGATTTTACCTGTTCGTATATATGAACATATGCGTTCTGAAAAATAAATTCACTTGGTAGTCAGCACTCGTGTTGTTTCTCTTTGCCTTCCGTACCCTTTCCTCTCAGCACTTTCGTGCTTGTGCTACAATCTCTATTAACATTTAAGTTTAAAATTGTCCATGTAGCTAGCATATTGGCCAGTTGTGCCTTGCACAGCAGGTGTTCAACGAAGTTCACTACAACAAACTCCACATCAAACCCACATCTATTGGCAATGCACGCACGTAGTGGCTGCACATCGCACCGTTCGTGCGGTGGGCATGGTTGCGCTTTGTTTATTGCTTTGTTTCCATGCTGCTGTGCTTGCATGGTGCTATAAGCTGATCGAAGGTTTCTTCTGCGTTCGACAAATGGCGCTCTGCCGCAAATAGCTCAGCTTTTAAATTTTGATCGACATTGTACGCGCTTGCGTTCCTCACAACTATTCAGCATGATTGTTAAACTATGTTTTGACTTTTATTGCACCGTTAATTTCTGATATAATGTTGTGATGTAATGTTTCGATCGTTAACGGCTCCGGCTGTTTCACCACAGTAAAATAAATTTCAAGTTCAGAATAACAGATTGCTTACATGGGTAGTATAAGGGCAGCACTTTTTTTCCGCAATTTTTATGAGAAAGTATAAAATGGGTGAAGGGTCCACCGAGAATGGCAAGCAAATGACACATTAATTGCCAAGTTTCATTGGACATTCAGGCTCTTTGAGGAGGACTTTTTCTGGCATGGCGTCTTCACCAGATCTCTGGCTGAACAAAATCTATACTCAATATTTTGATGGCACATTGCTTGTTTCAACACTCTATGTGAAAAAGTAGCTTTCAATGACCATAGACTGTGTAAAAGTTCAATTTAATTATGCTTTGTTATGACAATATAAATTGCTTATGTTACTATTTTGGTTATATTGGTATTGAACTTCATTTGTACTTTTGGAATTCTTATTGCAAGAAATGACCTCATGCACAGTATTGTGACCACCCGTAGTGCAAGAATGGTGACATTGAACTGCATGAGTACATCAGCACGGAAAGTGACTTAGAGCAGTGTGAAAAATGAGACCATTCAAAGAACCATGGATCTTCAGCAAGGCGTGATTGATGTTTTCTCTTCCATGCAGGAATCTGTCCGTAAAGCAAGCGAGTCTTCCCTGAGAGCATTGACTAAAGTAAGTGATTTTTCATCTGTGCAGCAGCTTGAGGAAAAAGCAAGATCTGCTGCTACTCTTGGTGACAGAACTTTTTTTCACAGCACTGTGGAAGCTATAGGACCAATGTGCACGCCTGCTACCGCACCTAGGAATACTAGTACTTAACTCTACTAATCATTTTCTCATTTGCCTTGCTCATTTAAGTGCCGCTTTATTGTGAGACAGTTTCAGGAAGCTGGTCACAGTTGTTCTTCACCTTGAAAAAATGTCTTCCTTTTTTTTTAATTTCCCAGACTACACCACCACCTTTTCAGCCAGCCCATCTTGAATCAGCATTGAGTCAGTGCGCAGCCGCAAACGGGCTGTTTAGTTCTCTTTAAAAAATTTACTTGTAATAGGATGTACTAAACAATTGAAATGTTTCTCCCATTCTCCCTCTCTTTTTTACATAGGGGATAGTTTCAAGGTTTTGCACTGTTGGGGGAATGGGACGGTGCGTCTATCTCTGCTGCACATTCCTCAGACACGTTAGCCAGGTACTCATTAGATGGTACTAACGTACCCACTGCGTGACTGTAATAGCTGGCATCTTTGGCAGATGGAGCTTTCTGTCACTGCAAACGGGCCATTGCCTTTCGTGAGTCTGACAATGACATGTGAGGTTTTGATAATGACTGCCATGACATTTGTAAAATCAATCAGCCTAATTTATATATTCAAGGGACAAAGGTACTATTTTTGTTGCCAATTTTAGTTTTTAAAATTTGCGTGTGTTCATTACATGGGGTTATCAGCAGTAATAACATCTCAGCCTTGGTACGCAATACCTGCAGAATGAAAAGCAGCTCTGACGTCTTTTGTCCTCCTAAATAAGATATGGGGTTAACCTATTACAGAAGTTGTGATTAAACTGCCAGTGTAAGAAACCAGTCAGTGCAGCAAAGCTTGTGCAACTCCTTTAATGTCTGATGTTGAAGTATCCATGATAATGATGGCTGAAGTCACTTGAACCACTGTGTCACAATACGTTTTACTCCTCCCAAGTGGTGCCCCCTCTACCCACAAGGCAGGGTGGAATGGGGCAGATTTTAGCCATCACAAACTATATTTTTACACCTTCATCAGGATTGGTAGAAACTAGTGCATCTCGGAAGCTTTGCAGCTTTATCAAACCTGTATGAATCATACATCGTTCTGCATTCGAGTGCGACAAAGCTGAAGATACAGTTCCAAAGAGTGTCACAAGCCTTCTCTATCCGTTTTTCTAAATGCGTTATCTAAATGTGTTACCAATGTGAGTGAGCTAAACTGAAATGAGCCACCAGCTTTTGCACGAATGAGTGGAAGCCCCAGCTCCGTAGCCAATGTCAAGTGTCGCCAAGTGTAGGTTAGCTCATAGCTTTCATGTCGTTAGTTGCTGTAAAACGGATGTTTATGTGCTCCTTCGGCCAGTTGTGTCTCTTCAGATGCTTTAAGCAGTGTCATAATCCTTTATTATAAGTGGCTCTTTAGACACTTGTTAGACCACATTGTGTTCGTCTGGCAATATGTTTCTTGCCAGACCTGCAACACCAGTGAACTGAATGGCTTGCAAGATGTTGACCCCGCCTTGCTTCTGCAGGCTTGTGTGCGGACCTGTGATGCTCAGGCAAAAGGCCGAGAGCATGCTCTGGGAGTGATAATTCCCAGCGTTGCCAAGGGCCTGTCCAGCAGCGTGGCTGAAGCGCGGCATACCAGGTATAGGCTCCACAGTGTGCTCTCTCTGCACATTCTCTCGTAGGGTTCAGGCGGTTCTCGATGGCAGACTTGAATTCAAATCATCATCATCATCATCAGCCTGACTACGTCCACTGCAGGACAAAGGCCTCTCCCATGTTCCGCCAGTTAACCCGGTCCTGTGCTTGCTGCTGCCAATTTATACCCGCAAACTTCTTAATCTCATCTGGCCACCTAACCTTCTGTCGCCCCCTAACCCGCTTCCCTTCTCTGGGAATCCAGTTAGTTACCCTTAATGACCAGCGGTTATCCTGTCTACGCGCTACATGCCCGGCCCATGTCCATTTCCTCTTCTTTATTTCAACGATTATATCCTTAACCCCCGTTTGTCCCCTAATCCACTCTGCTCTCTTCTTGTCTCTTAAGGTTACACCTACCATTTTTCTTTTCATTGCTCGCTGCGTCGTCCTCAATTTAAGCTGAACCCTCTTTGTAAGTCTCCAGGTTTCTGCTCCGTAGCTAAGTACCCGCAAGATACAGCTGTTATATACCTTCCTCTTGAGGGATAGTGGCAATCTACCTGTCATGATTTGAGAGTGCTTGCCGAATGTGCTCCACCCCATTCTTATTCTTCTAGTTACTTCAATCTCGTGGTTAGGCTCTGCAGTTATTACCTGCCCTAAGTAGACATAGTCTTTTACAACTTCAAGTGCACTATTACCTATCTCGAAGCGCTGTTCCTTTCCGAGGTTGTTGTACATTACTTTCGTTTTCTGCAGATTAATTTTAAGACCCACCTTTCTGCTCTCCCTGTGTAACTCCGTAATCATGAGTTGCAGTTCGTCCCCGGAGTTACTCAGCAATGCAATGTCATCGGCGAAGCGCAGGTTACTAAGATATTCTCCATTAACTCTTATCCCTAACTGTTCCCATTCTAGGCTTCTGAAAACCTCCTGTAAGCACGCGGTAAATAGCATTGGGGAGATTGTGTCCCCCTGCCTTGATTGGTATTCTGTTGCTTTCTTTATGAAACACTATGGTAGCAGTTGATCCCCTGTATATTTCTTCAAGAATGTTTACATATACTTCATCTACGCCCTGATTCTGGAGTGTCTGCATGACGGCTGATATTTCTACTGAATTGAACGCCTTCTCATAATCTATGAAGGCTATGTATAGTGGTTGGTTATACTCTGAGCATTTCTCTATTCCCTGATTGATAGTATGAATGTGGTCAATTGTTGAGTAGCCTGTTCGAAATCCTGCTTGTTCTTTTGGTTGATTGAATTCTAATGTTTTCTTTACTCTGTTAGCAATTACTTTTGTAAATAGCTTGTATACTACAGAGAGCAAGCTGATCGGCCTGTAATTCTTGAAGTCCTTGTCATCTCCTTTCTTATGTATTAAGATGATGTTAGCGTTCTTCCAAGACTCTGGTACCTTTCCCGTCAGGAGACACCTCATAAACAGGGTGGCTAGTTTTTCTAAGACAATCTGTCCTCCATCTTTCAGCAGGTCTGATGTTACCTGATCCTCACCAGCAGCTTTGCCTCTTTGCATGCTCTCCAAAGCTTTTCTGACTTCTTCTATCATTACTGGTGGGGTGTCATCTGGGTTACTGCTAGTTCTTATAGTATTAAGGTCGTGGTTGTCTCGGCTACTGTACAGATCTCTGTAAAACTCCTCCGCTATTTTAACTATCCTATCCATATTAGTAGTTATTTTGCCTTCTTTGTTCCTTAGTGCATACATCTGACTTTTGCCTATCCCAAGTTTCCTCTTCACTGCTTTGACGCTTCCTCCGTTTTTCAGAGCGTGTTCAATTCTCTCCATGTTATACCTTCTTACATCGCATACCTTACGCCTAGTAATCAACTTCGAAAGCTCTGCCAGCTCTATTTTGTCTGTTGTACTTGAGACTTTCATGCGCTGACGCTTCTTAATTAGGTTCTTCGTTTCCTGGGAAAGCTTGCCAGTGTCCTGTCTAACTACCCTGCCTCCAACTTCCACTGCACACTCCGTAATGATACTCGTCAGATTATCAATCATTGTATCTACGCTAAGGTTGGTTTCCTCACTAAGAGCCGAGTACCTGTTCTGCAGCGACACTCTGAATTCCTGTACTTTCCCTCTCAGTGCTAGCTCATTGATTGGCTTCTTGCGTATCAGTTTCTGTCGTTCCTTCTTCAAGTCTAGGGGAATTCAAGACCGTACCATTCTATGGTCACTGCATCGTACCTTGCCAACCACTTCCACATCCTGCACGATTTCTGGGTGTGCAGTCATTATAAAGTCTATTTCGTTCTTATTTTCCCCATTAGGGCTCCTCCATGTCCACTTGCGGTTTTCTCGTTTTCGGTAGAAGGTATTCAAAATCCGCAAGTTATTGCGTTCTGCGAATTCTACTAGTAGCTCTCCTCTGGCGTTTCTAGTGCCGATGCCATAATCTCCTGCTGCCTGGTCTCCAGCCTGCTTCTTCCCTACCTTTGCATTAAAGTCGCCCATCACTATAGTATACTGTGTTTTTACCTTACTCATTGCCGATTCCACGTCTTCATAGAAGCTTTCAACTGAAGCGTCATCATGACTGGATGTAGGCGCGTAAGCCTGTACTACCTTTATCTTGTATCTTTTATTCAGTTTAATTACAATACCTACCACCCTTTCATTAATGCTATAGTATTCCTCTATGTTGCCAGCTATGTTTCTGTGAATTAGGAACCCCACTCCCAGTTCTCTTCTGTCTGCCAAGCCCCGATAGCAAAGGACGTGCCCATTCTGTAGCACAGTATAGGCCTCATCTGTCCTCCTAACCTCACTGAGCCCTATTATATCCCATTTAACACCCTCTAGCTCCTCGAGCAGTACAGCTAGACTTCCCTCACTAGATAAGGTTCTAGCGTTAAATGTTGCCAAGTTCAGGTTCCAATGAATTCAAATAATTGGCACTAACAGATAGATTGCACGGGTATATACGAGTATACACTCATGTAAGGGTCACACTTTTTCTTGTCGGTCCTGCCGTGCAGTTTCGTTTAAGCCGTAGATAACGATGTTATTTGTTTGACTGGTTTTCTAAGTCACAAATGTTTTTGCTCATTTAGTTGACATTTTTGCTCATTTGATAGTTGCTACGCACTCATCAACTTGTTCATAGTATTGGTTTAAAGCGGACAATGCCGCTTCTACTTGCTTTAGTCTTTGCTGTGCACTCTCAAGTCCATTTTCAAGGGTAGCCTGTGAAAACTTAATTGAAGTGACCATAGCAAGAATTTTATCCAGCTTATCGGGACATGGATTCTCCTTCACATCACCACGGAGTTGCGAAAGCATTTGGACAACAAAAAGTGACTCCTAGCAACAAGATAGCAGATCTTGTTTTCAGCTTTTTAAATGAATGTCACTTCAGCGCTGTTTACAATCCTACTGAATGTGTTCATTTAATACAAAGGTAGGTGCTGCCTTGAAAGAATTGCAACTAGCGACTTCTCCGAAAAGTTTGAGTGCACATAATTATTCCATCTTTAATACATGGCACTTTTTAAGAAAAAATGAATGCTTCTTGTGTGATTAATTATGGCATATGATTATAATTGAAATGTGCAAGGAAAGGAAAAGAAAAAGAAAGAAGACTCCGACGAAGCATTGCCTCCGGCAAGAGTGGACTGCAATAAGGCGCATTCGAGCCCGTTTGCATCACCCACTGATTTGCTTGGTATGTTTAGTAACCTACAAAAGCCACAAAACGTCGAAATCGGAAAAAGGAGAGCAGTAGAAACCGAGACAGAGAGCTGAGATGTGGCCCTAACAACTGACGTTAATTTCGGAACAACCTTCCTTCTAAGTTCGTACAACGCATGCGCAGATAACAAACCAAAAACACCTGACAAGCTAATCTTGGCAAATCACCCTTGTGCTAAAAACAAACATTCTTTCCTGGTGAGATAAACTGAGGCTGCACTAAAACATTTGTCAGGACCTAGTTTCCAGATATGAAATGCCTCAATAATCTTCCATTCACGCTGCCTCTTAGCTTTACCTAAAATTGTAACCTTATCGAAGAGGAGCAAACAACCACACGACTTGCAGTTACCGACTGCCTGAGGGTAGAAAGTTTTCATGCTTTCTCAGCCGAACATTGACACATCGACCAGACTGTCCAACGTAAAACATGTCGCAACTTAACGGGATGCCATACACCGCACATGTGATATACGCACAGTATTTCTTCTCATGTTTTATGTCACACAAACTGATTATTGTGCCGAGCTGCTCACCCCTCGTGCAAGTTTGTATGAATTCACCTTTGATTAATAGCACACATATTTTATAGACAAGCAAAGACATTGTGGTTCAATATACAGTCGACTCTCATTAATTTATACTTGAAGGACCTCTAAATTCTGTTTGAATTATCAGAAGTTTTCGGATAGATGACTATGGGCGAGGTAACACCACATATTATGACTAGGCATTGATCTTATCAAATTTAAAAATTTCTCAGTATTCTTAAACCGTAACTGCACGCAATAAACAGAAAGCAGAGGTCTAAAGTACACAAGTTTATTGGCCATTTACTGCTGATCAAACCTTTTAAAAAAAATTGTGAATTCCCAACTGCTTCATTGCTATAGGTATGTGCCTTCAGCACAAAGCTCCCTATACTAGTTGAGAAGCATCATGGTTTACAATGCGTGGGCTTTGTTTCAAACATTTGTTTACTAGTGAAGCCTTTTTCTTGAATGCCTCAGGTGCTTATTTTTCATTTTAGACTATTAGGATTATTAGAGCCCACAAATTTTAAATAGTAGTAAGAAAGGAGCAGATATTTTCTGGCATGGAAGTGTAAAAAGTATGAATTAACTGAATGATGGAGTGTGAATTAAGAGGCTTTTAAATACATTGAAAGAATAAAGGGCCAACCAAAAAATTTAATTTTGTTTGAATTAACCGAAAGTAAATTATCAGAGTTTGAATTATCGTGAGTTTACTTACAGTAGAGGCAAGGTACCTAAAACAAC